GACGTGAAAAACTGAAAAACCGAATAATAAGCTGAGGCAAAACCACAGTTAATGATTAAGTAGGCTAAAACTCAAAAAGAAAATTGATCTACCAAACGTAAAGCTCAGAACAGATTCTTTACATCAGAAATGGTGCTTTTATTGCGTAAGGACACGTCGAAAGATTGAGAAATACAAGTCACATTATGACTAAACTTCCAGTTCGGAAAGCGCGCTCATATTCACGAAGCCAGAAAAGTCGAAGCTGGTTCATATTACACAGATTTTCAGAATAGACCGACGTAGCGTACTTTCAAGCAACTGACTAATAGCACGTTTTTCTTTACTCCAAAAACTATGGAGTCCCTGACATATGTTGATCTACTTGACTAATTACTATTCACAAACTTCCTTCCACCCCCGAACGGCAGGGTTTCAACAAAGGTGATTCCTGTATAACCAACCAGCTGACCGTGGCGGACATACGGACAACCATCTTTGATTGCAAAGGGAAGGTTGAAATCATATGTCTTGACTTCTGAAATACTTGATAGGGTCAGTCACAAATGCCTTATCAGTAAGTCCAAACAAATAGTTATGAAACCATTGTGAACTGTTTGGCTCACTTCATATATAAACAGTTACTTTTTAAGATCGGGGTAAATTTCAAACTTTCTCAGGCTGCGGAATGTCTAAGTGGGGTCCTGTATAGGTCAATAGTTGAACCGCTTCTTTTCTTAATTCATATGGACTATTTTCCTCAGTAGGTATCGTCTGATTTGTTACTTTTCGCTGATAATATACTCTGTAGGGACGTTTGCAACCAAGACGATAAGCTGTCACTTCAGGAGGATCTGACTGGACTGAGAAGTTGTTAGACAACGACGGACTTAACTTTAACACTTCAAAGTGCAAAGTAGTCCATCTGTAATGTTATGAACTACGAGTAGAACATAGATAACTTTACTCTAGAGGTATCTCGAGTTGAAAACACTTAGGGGTGTTGGTATCCTATTATCAGAAGTCTTATGCTAACTGCCACAAAAATGATTTTTGTATTAAACTTAAACCGGTGACGTTGAAGAGCATTTTCGTTCAGCTAGACGGTAAAACGTTTCATTTAATCTTCAACAGTGTTATTTAACCCCATTCACTGTATAGGAAAACAGAGTTTCCTTGCTCGCTTCAAAAGGATAATAATATATCGAAATGTATCCAACAGCTAGCCACGAAATCAGAGCGGGGACTGAAATTCAGGCCTTATGAAGAGCGCCTGAGATCACTGAACATTTACCTAATGAATTTAGGCATCTTGGACGTGACTTTCTGATGACGTACAGCATCCGAAACATTTTTCGACATTCTCATGAATACATACCTAGGCTCACTCATATCAGAAACCTTACATGTAACACGCATAACATGAAGGCACAACATAGAGCGGAACGTAGGGACACCTTCTGTTCCCTGAGAGTAGCCAAATGCTGAAAATCGCTGCCGACTGAGGTGGTACAATCGATCTCTTAGGAGTCTTTCAAGAAAGCATGAGGTATGTTCTTGAGGACAAAGGTCACTATCTCATTATAATTTACCGATGTTTTTTTCCTTTTTATACTCCCTTTTATAGGTCCTCACGTGACAGCATCGGGGTTCAATGTTAGTAGATACGGAAGCCCGTCAAGCAGAAGCCTTTTTTGTTACGTCCAGATCCATCTGAAAAGTTTCGTATAGAACGAATGAAATTGTAACCCAGAATCCTCCATTTGACAGGGTTTCTCAGCTCGTTAACTCCAAGTTTACCAATACTTTTTGTTGACGTTCGACCAGGAAATCATTTATCCACATAAATAATTTGTTACTATTACCGATACTACTCACTTTAAATAAAAGCCTGGTGCATGTGGCTTTGTTGAAAGCCTTACTTTAGTCACCATTTTTTAGTGAACACCAACTTGCACGTGCAACTAGTGGGTTTGTGAGACATCAACAAACTGTTCTGAAACCGTACTGCTATTCAAAAGTTATTAAATGTTTGTTTGGGTTTTATCCACTCCCAACTACTTTTCCTAATTTCCACCTTAGCTGGAAGCTGGTCTGTTATCTTCCACAGTATGCTTTACTGTTGATAACCGGTCAAAAAACACTCAGTATCCTGAGTAGACAATTGTTTATAAATATTTGTACGTTTTTGATGATCGTTGTGGTAGTTTTCTAAGTTTCTGCTCCATTCAGTTGAACTGTCTTGACATTAGTATTGAAGATTCTCACTTTAAAATTGGTTGACAGTTTTAGTGAAATCCATTCGTTCTTCAACTATAGAATTACTATCCATGCTTTGTCAATCCATTCATTTACGTGTGCATTGGATCCTCCACTTTGATCGATGACATCGACCAAACATGTGAAACATTTCACCTCCTTTAGAGTTTCTCTAATTGGACAGACAATGAATTTCGGGAGTCACAATTTTAAGAGTACACAAGGAAGGTATTGTAACAACACAGGTGTAGTTTTAGAAACTGTTCTCTATGTGAGGACCAACATTGTGTCTACTTTTAAGTGTTCGAAGTGGTCCATATAGTGAGCGTCGGACACCACAGCTAAGTCTGATACCAAACCACCCATCAATCGGATTAGAGATGGTCTTGTGACCTGAGAGCTTGACCACAGTGCCCAAGGGACAACTGCTTGAGGTCGATCACACACGACGTTTTTATGAGTGATTTTCGTGCTCGCTTCGTACTTGTTGAGACCTTGCCGCCGGAGACGGATATCCGTGGGATAAGGCGAAGTGTGAATTTTAGGGGAGATCTTTTCTAATTCCACCCCTGCTTGTAGGAAGGCAGCATTGCTGTTATGCTGGTTGTCTGAAAGAAACACCTTACTGTCATCACACCTCTGTACAGTCAGCAGTAGGACTTCGCCTTCGGACCTTGGCCTTGCTACTTTCAGTCTTACTGTTCTTCAGCCGACCTGTCTGGCACGGTAGGACCTTGAGGAATGATTGTTCCAGCCAGTATAGCTCGATTGGTTCATCACGACAGGTAAGCCCGACCCCTACGTCAAGGTAGCAGCAACGGTCGGGGGAACGACACCAGATTGTAAGCCAATAATCAGGGATTACTAGATTGAGGTTTTGTCCCAATACGAAACAGCTCGACGGTGAACGCTCTTTGTCGAATCCAAATACTAATCTCTTTGTAAGTTTCGTATGTACGTCCATTGACAGCATAACGGTATTCGTGTCATAACAGGTCCTCATTACTAATGCTGATCTAAAGCTAAAATTGTAGATGTAGGGCATCGATGACTTAAAACAGCACATAGAATAAGTAAGTTAAAAAATGGATCGCGAAATCTTCTGCTGACAAGATTTGTTAACGTTTGTTTTTGAATTTAAACTCGATTAGGATCTTAGTAAATGTAAAATACAAACTGGCAGAAAAAGATTTATACCTGGGGATAGTCTCAATCGCTACTACCTGTACAACATGTGGAAAATTAAAATGCAGCAAAACACGAGCAGTATAAAGCCAGCAGAAGAAATAAACGTCGATTGAAAAGATAAGATAATATTAGTGAAATTAACACAAGCCGTCCATGTATTCGTTTTCTTGTACTATGATGTCTGCAGTCCCTAAAAGTCTGTTTAAACGCTGTTTTAACGATAATTGAACTCGACCTGAAATAGGTAGTTTCGTGGTTTTCGACATTGATACTTACTTCATCAGTTCGCCTGTACACACTCAACTGAAGACGCTTGGTCAGCTGACGATTGGGTATAACGTGTTATTCATCTTTCGCAAAAGCTAGTTTGCTTCGATTATTTACTTTTCAACACATCGATCATCTCCCTAGAACCATTTTACTCCTGACCTACGGTTCGATTGGTTTCAAAATCATCATTCGAAAAGAAGTTGTAAACAATAGCGTTGTCAAGCATTCGATATCCGTGAAGTGTTTGTGCTAATCTTGTAAACCAAATTCAAGACGTGCGAAGAGAAGTGGAGATGGATCAAAAAAGAAACTGTATGAATACTAATTTCTTGGTTCGATCGAGCTAGATGTACAACAAGAAGCCGTCTGACCATAGTGGGTGACGTATTAAATGGTCCAGATTACCACTATAACTCTTTTTAGGCTTCTAATGTCTCTTTTTGCACTCTTATTGTTCGATGATTTACTTATAACCATTCCCAGTTATGTGATAATTCAACTTCTTTCTTAGTTCTGCTGAGATTTTTGATTGCTATTTGAAAGCCTTCATTTCAACCCTTTTAACTACCGACCACTAAAGTGACAGCTTCTGCTAAGAAAAACATTATCTAAGGACAAATGGACTAAGACTGAAAATTTGCTGACTGTCGAATAATTGGAGAATTTCCAAGGATTATTATAGTCTGATAAGTAGTTTGATTGTTGTAGACAGTTCATAGAAATCACAGACCTTCATTAACATCGAAACGCTGATAAAAAGAAATCGAACGGTTTGTTAGGCTCGTCATATAGATATTGACACACAAAATGTGTTACTATAGTGATATTAACACTTTCAAACGTACTCAGAGCCTTACGGTACGGTTTTGTAGTTGCGATTATCTAGTTGCCTTGATTTCATGCTAGCGTTATTTCTGTTTTCTTTCAATTGTCTTCACGGCTAGATGTAAGTGAACGCTATGTGTTTACTAACCAGTTAGATTCCAGTCGGATAGCCTTTTTCCCTATTTTTGGGAAATTTTGGGAAAATGGAGAAAATGCCTTAAAATTTCTCCAGTTCTAGGGAAATTCTTCAAAGGTTTGGCGATCAACAAAACCCGAAATTTCGGGTTTTTTTCTAATATTAACAGTGAAGAAAATTCACTAAGGGAAATATCCATTGATCAATGGATATAAACCTTAGTCTCTTTTAACTACCCCCTTCCATTGATTAATTATTCCATGGGGGATGGTTGAAGCCGACGTTTTTCGTAATTTTTTTGGCACTATTCGCATTTTTCAGAAATTCTTACAATTTGCAATTTTAAACATGTCGTTTCAGTCTTCAGTAATAAGGATAGGAGGTCTATCGACCTGTATTAATCCTTGCAGTTTGTAATACTGTGGAGGTCCAATCTCGTCTTGAATATATCAACAGAAGGTGCTGATATTACGTGTTTCGGTAGAGAATTCCAATAATTCACTACTCGATGAGAGAAACGAAACTCCAGACGTAAACGATTTGATCTCGGCTTTTGAATTTTTTTCGAGTGTCCTCTCAAACGATCAGTCCTAGACGGAAGTAAAAGATAAGACATGTTAATACAATTTTTGACCTTCCGTTCAGATTTGTGAACACACAACATGACCCATTGATTATCGCCCACAAATACACTGTTACACACATAGGCTATTCTAGTTTCTGAACAGACTAATCTATTCCCTCTCAAGACACATTTTGACCCTGTTACTTACTGGCTTATTACCCTGACTGTTTTTATATGGTCGTATATGTGTTAATTATTTACCCTATCCATTATGTGTCTGCAAGGTATTTTTGTTTGACTATAAATGTCGAGTCAAGCTTGATTAAAGAGAAATGGTTCATTTGCCTTCTCCATCGCGCGTCATTTCGCTTCGTTTCTCCCATCGACTGTCTGGATCAACGATCCAAATTGAGTCAGATATACGGCCACTAAAATTCAATAGATGCATTCCTACTGAAGGCCGGATGTTGCAACTTTTCTAAATTAGTATACCACTATTTTTATGATTTTATATATAACGTCAAGCGAGAGATAGCTTTTGACTTAAAAACATTAATTGGTTGAATCAGTACATGTGCTTGGACAATTGTTGTTACCCAAACAACCTGAAAATGGAGTAATTAAGATGAACGCGCCGAACTAGGGGGCATTCCTTAAGAAAATATGATGACGGAGGGTAAAGGTGTCATCACTCACAAATCTGTGTTCTTAACTCAGAACATCTTCAATGTTTGCTCTTATTTGTATTGCAGAACAAAAGTTTAGACAAAGCCAACTAGACCAAAAACGTTGTACGTATTTAAAGATATTTATTGACGAAAAACAACATAGTTAACAGCCAGCTAACGTCGAAGTCACACCTCATAGTTAGTACTTAATGTGATATATTCACGTACTATGGCTATTTTGATGACCGTACAACACAGACGACGTTATTACAGAAACAAATTGGTAAGAGTAGGCACAAGGAACGGAGCGAGACCACTGCTGCATGGGCCAGTCCGTGGCGTGCAGTTAATTTGTGTCAGTTTTTTGTCCTTGAATTTGACGAGGATCGGTGAACTGTCCAATATTCAGTGACCCTACTGCCAGATGATTTGGCTAGGACCCAGTGACATTTTAATGGCCCTACATGCTTATCATACATTTTCATTGTAAATGCTAATTCTTATAGTCATTTAAGAAGATCTTCAAAAAGATTGTAAGTAACAGGCAATGCGCTATTTATTAAGAATGTGTCCCAAGTGTCAACTCTATACAAAATCATGCACGCTCTCACTACATACGTTTAATTTGTCTCAATGTAGCACATATAAGTGAGGAAGTAAATGCATAGTTAAAACAATCTTTATTAGAAAACTGGGTCTCTTTGGAACTCTAGTGTTACTATTCACAATCATATTGATCATCCTGTGAATTCTGAGATATAACAAAAATTATTATGTACAACAATGCTAGACTGGTATACTTGTTTTTTACTAACAGCTGACAACATAAAGTGAGACACGGTAATGTTCGTTAACTCCAAACATTGCACCTATAAAACAACGATGAAAAGTCATCATCTCAAATTATTACTTGCATTATCTATCCTCTCTTTATAACGCTTTTGTAGTTTATCTCTCATGTTGTGGAAATGTCCTTGCGTCGCGATGTCATACAATTTCACGAGGTATTTTTCAATGATAGTTTATGATGAAGTATGCTGATTAGGAGTATTTGAATTGTAGTAAAAACAAAGAATCTCAGCAACAACACAATTTAACCAAGAAGTATAAGATAAGAATTCGAAATCAAGCAATCATCAAGTGCAAAGGAATCATTAGTTCATACAAACACCACATAAAGACCGTAGTGTTCGCTTGCCTAAAGGTTAAAAAACACTCCACGTTCTGCCACAAAATTTGCACCTCTGACGTGCTCGTTTTGATGAAGTGTGAAGGAGCTGGCAGCTTCAGGTTTCATGATGTATGACAAGATATAGCCCATGAATGTTTCGGGATTATCAACCATTAACCGCATCAACATGGCTATTTAACATGTAAAGTGACAATCCAACGATTTTTGTAGACTAATAAGTTTGTTCCTCATGTCTTTTACCAAAGACATACATCTAGCTCTTGCATTTCCTCTCCAGGTGACAAAAGGAAATTCAAAGTTGATAGTCCCATATCAACTTTCCGTGGATTATCTTGCCTATCAGACTTAGACTAAGACATGAGCTGCACAACATTGGTACGGAAGTCTGATATAACTGATGACATGTTCTGTAAAACAGCATGCAGTTTCGCAAATCTAAAACAAACTCAAGTTCAAGATATGATCTAATCAACCGCAAAACTAGTCTCAACAGTGGTTGACAGCAACGTTTCTACTTATATAGAACTTATTTAAAAACATAATTACAAAATAATTACACCTTACCTCGCTTAAAATAAGGTTAAGAATTGAGATTAAGAGTTAAGGTAACGAGTCAGGATAATAAAGTACAGTTATTATTTTACCATGTACTGACATCAATCATAATTCAAGAACCCAGAATAAGCATATAAAGTGAATGGATATCGTGCAAGAATTCAAGAGGCACAATCTGAAACTTAATTTTTCCGGCTCTGTACATTACTTTCAACGTATATACATTTACGCCTTCGGATTTTTCTGTTATTGTTTTCTTAGTTAGATATACCAGTTTCAACTTCACGCATACGACATTACTAATTGTTATTGATCGCTTTATTATCAAATGTGACTGTATTCTATATGCATAAATGCATACCAAGTTCACTGTGGCGTCTACTCACACTTTCTCTTGTTTTCCTCTCCCAGATTCCTACTCACACTCGTCATCCCGTCGTCAACCATATACCACTAGACAACACATAAACCTGTAAACGATTACACACTAAATGCCAAGAAATGCAGAAGTCCATATATGGCACGGGAAATACCCTGTTGCAGGAATATGCAAAAATAGAAAACACCGATTAATGGGACTTCAAGGTACTTTCAAAATTTTAGGACAACGTTAAGTGACCTAGAGCAATTGTCAAAAGAGGGACATACTACTTATCTTCACGATATGAGTGACTTTTATGAAATCACCGAAATAAAAGTTAATGAAGAGGTTGTTCATCGCTGCAAAATTACTGATTTTCAGTTTGGTTTGCAAAATAATTTGTTTTTCTCAGTTTGGAAAATTTTCAGGAGGCGATGGGGAGCTGGACCCGCTAATCAAAATAATTGCAGATAAAGTCAACAATGCATATTAAGGCCTGCCAAGTGCCCTTAAATATAGAAGACGAAATAAATTGTATTTGTTAGGTCGGATCACCAACGTTTTACACTGTTAATCACTTTAATGATGTCTACTAAACCCTGTAAAACACTGCTTATTTATTATATGTTTAAAAAGCTTTCCCTCATGGGTTCATAGGGTTTTACTCAGCTCAAAAATATTTTAATGGAGCCCTCCATTCATTGTTTTGTAAACCGTAACAATGTGGTTATATCATAAGGTTTAGGATTTTTAATTTGACGTCTTTGTAGTAATGCATCACACTTAACGTATGTAAATGTGGTAATTTTACAAACTGACTTTAGATGATCTTTTTTTCTTTGATCCCCACCCGTGTTTTCTGAGTTCTGGGATTTATGACGATCTCACTTTGTATATGTGTGAAATACACCTACAAGACATCAGTGAGTGTGTGGACAGTAAAGATCACTGGCTCTACAACTATTGTCAAGACCGATTGAACATCTTTGAGGCATCATCCAAAGGCTCTTAATGTTCTCCGCATTCAACGCTTCAAGTCAACATAGGCCGTTCCAGGCTTTGATATTGAAATGTGGAAGCATCTGTCGACCAAGCTAGATATCGAGTGACTTAGCTTGAGTGGCTCACTAATTATATCCCACTTGGTAATACCTCTAAGTTCTCACGAGAGTATTTGTACAAAATCGGCCACTAAGAAGTCTACTTGAATATACCCGCGTGTTTTTAGGCTGCAAGCGTTTGTGTTTTTTGATGTATTGCCAGTGAATCTAGGTCAATGTTCGGTAAGAAAAGTTTACATATAGATTTTTAAAAGTATAAAGTGGCTTAAAGACCGTCCTTACAAATTCGAGAAACAGAAAAACACTCGAGATAAATCTTCCCAAGCACTCATTATAATTTATATTATTATCAATGCCACAATATAATTGTCGATTCTTCTGGACTGATTTCTTGTTTGACGTAACTGTATGTTAAGTTAGTTAGTTCCTGTCTGTCTTCTTGAATTTTTACATTTCCTTTGAAGGGTTTTATGATTTTACCCTATGGTTTGTTCGCTCTTAGTTATACCACTTTTTGGAATCAAATTTGTGCATTTTATCACAGAATAAATTACTCCATATTTAATTGTGTTTACTCAGCTAAAATCTACAATTGTTATGACCCGTCGCACTGGACTCTGCTGCATGATTTAAAATGTAGCGTATAAAGAAGTATTTAGTGCAAAGAAATAAACTAATATACACTCGATTGTGTTTGTTAGGTGTTTTTAAGAAATGTTCATGGCACCATAGTTCATATAAGGCTATTACTATTTTGTCTTCCGTGCATATATTCCACAGCCCCCGAATGCCCTGGTATGGCCGAAAGTGGAGAGAGTCCGCTCTCCCTCTCGAAATGCTCTCACATGACCAATGGTGCACATGGGCTCCAGTATCCTGAAGGAACAAATGGCGTATGAACCAATCGTTGGTCACCGGCTACCATGGGACTGCATCTCCTCACGATGCTCCACTGCCTTGTGGGTCAGACATTCAGGTCGAAGACTCGGAGTGTGGCCCCCTAAGAGAACCACCTGCTTCGGTTTGGGCACCCGAGCAGTATCACAGCCCTCACACATATCAATTAAGATTTGTGTGGCGCATATGTATTTGGTCCCTCTTTGTACCAATACCTATGTGTTAAAATAAATAAATAATACATATATTCCACAAACTCTGTGGTTGTCTACTTATTTTAACTAAAGTCAAAAATTTGTGAGTTTAGACAACCCATGGAGTTATTCCTCAGAAGTCAAAATGACAAATCAAATCAACTAGACACTTCTTAGAATTAACATGCATCTTTGACTTTAAGATGCCGGTGTAGCATGAGACAAACCGAAGCAAAAAATATACTACCCATATCTTTGATAAAGTAAATAGTCGGAGACCTGGATGTGAATAAAAGAAGTTAGGACCAGTCAGTATTATTTCAAAGTATCATGAAAACTGGTCTTATAAAGCCGAGCATTTTAATATAGGTTTCTCTTGATATTCTTTGTTTTATAGGCCCTGATTAATTTAGAGTGTAGATTCTTGAACTTTATTTGAAGTAGTGTCATTTTTGAAATCATTTAAGAATTATGAAGGTATTCGTCTACATGTCGTAATAAATAGATGTATACAGTTTTATTTACATAAAAGGCAAACAACGTTTTGTAATCATACTTCAAAGTTACACTCTAAAACAAAATAACATTTTCTTCTGTAGTGTTACCTATTAACTCATTTTGCACTCAAGAAGTTAATTTTAATTTGTTTCTTATAACTTTGAGTTATCAAACACAAGTAGGGTACTATGTCCAATCTGGAGATCTAAACCGAAATATTTACATTCTGTTCAAACCAATTATTACTCAAGCCTGACAGGAAAATCGTTGCCCGTATTAAAACTACGTGTAAAAATGATTTTCATAGGTTGACTTATAGAAATATATTGAGGACAAATTCCATATCAAAGATATCCTACTTATTTTAATGTAGATATTCTAGATCTGGCGATTGACTTCAACAACTTTAAAGCGTCTTATTCTTCTCTTTCACAATGTTTAAGTTATCCAGGAAACGAGTACATATCTAAAAGACTGGAATGATAAAAGAATCAACATAGCGAGTAGAATAGAAAGCACGTGTTTACAAAATATGCTCTTTGATATCAGTCCACAAAGAATATATCTGTACTAATAATGTTGGGAGTTTATAGATATCAATACCAAGGTTGGACTTGATAGTTTCAAATAAATTGAGCATTGGGTAGAAAGTTAATAGTAAATATGTATTTGTTATAAATCATTTGGATGTAACAAAAACATATCTATGATTAGTCTTGGGAGTATGTTTTTGTCATCAATTTTATCAGATATTCGGCTTTACGAGCAATAAGTCTATCTTTATGGTAGGTAACCATTGTGAATATTTCACTGATACAGGTAACTGTGATTGCACTAAAAAAAATCCTCAGTACACGAGACAAATAGTTTTTACTTTAGGAAGTCTTATGCACAGAGAATCACAATAATTTCGCTTTTTTATCTAAGAAATGACGTCCTAAATTTAATTAGTGTAAAGGGAAAATGAGGTCGCTTAGCTTTAAAGTATGTTTAAAACTTGCACAATTTTGCATACAAGTCACTGGTTTAATGTATTTTAGTTAGAAGGCGGGTAAAAATCATGATTGATGGACACTGTTGAAGAGTCTCATGACGGGACGAAACAGCCTACCGATATTTCCTTATTTTTGGTAGACACAATTTTACAATAGCTCTCGCCACATTGAACTATTCTCCACAATCTACCCAACCAAGATCCAAATTACTTTAATATGGAATTTAAATAATCATTTAGCTGTAACAAGTCATGTTAAGTCAATTAAAAAAATCTTCATTGAGCTCGTATTTATTGGCGCTCACTAACACTGACGAAGCTATTCCTCACTAATGACGCCATGTAGTGTCCTAACTTATGCTTGCAACCTTACACAACTGAAACTTACACATCTCCAAAGGAAACAGATGGTTCACAATGTTTTAGACTAAATTTAGTGGTCACATAATAATATTGTGTGGACAAATCACCATGAACATATGAAACTGAAACCCATAACTACTAACATTTCTAGTCAAAGATGTAGCATAAATAAATCAGGTATTCTCTTTTGGACACAATAAAATGATAATTTAGTAAATTCTAGGTGCTTCACCTTAAATGGGCAGCTTCAACGCGACTTAGATAATCTATGGAAGCATGTTATTGCAGTTACATGTTTGTCCACATGGAGACGAACTGTTCGACTGAATAATACACAAACGACTTATTACCGTGTAACATCCTTTAGTTTGTTAACTGTGGTGGTCGGTGTTCGATATATTCCTTAAACTCCGTATACAGTTCGTCTCGGTGACCGTCACCAAATAATGCTCCAATGGTATATTAATCAGAAGGCGAATACGAAGCGTTAATTACGTTTATTAAGGGACCACACACAGATATCCAAAATTACAGATGCGTTAAGCAAGCATGAAATAGTTGTGCCAAAAGGCAAACAGGCAAGCGAGCGAGTGAGAGAGAGCAAGGGCAAGAGCGAGCGAGCGATCGAGCGATCGAGCGAGTGAATGAACGAGCGAGCGAGTAATGAATATGAATAACATGGACATATATATACATAGTGAAATTAATGAATCATCGAGTCAATTAAGCGGTTAATAGTAAAGCTAGTAGCGTGAATAAATGCGTAGGCAGTAAGGTTTGCCGAGCATACATATTCATACAAGGATAACAATAATAAAGGTACATACATTCGCAACAGTAATAAGGATACAATAAGTTATTAAAGTGCAGGTGACTTTGTCCGTTTAATAAGTTAATAAAAGGGCTTAACCGAATTAGGTGAGAGCAAACTCAATTGAATGTGAGTTGCTATAATGGCTCCTCCCAGCAAACAAAGATACAAAAGTGTCTGTGTTTGCGAAAAAAAATGTCAAATTTAACAAGATGGGAAATATCGAAATTTACGAAATTAAGATATATGATAGAACTATCGTATAAGTTATTAAAAATATGTGTAAGTTTGAGTTGGTATATGTCCGTGAGGCCAAATAAGATCATAACGTAAGATCGGAAGAATACATAAAATATGTTGAATATAATAATAGATAAGCTAAAATTTTCGATTTGTACATAGAAAATGAAGATTAAATTTACATTCGAAGAGGTGAAAGAAATTATTAATTCAAAATCGTAGCTATGTATCGTTGCGGCCATCTCACTCTTCGGCCATATCTCGTTGTTACTGGATTTTCTTCGTTTGTGTTGGTCGATGTCGTTGATGATTGGGACTCGCGTTTCGGTGGTTCGCCGGTTTTCGAAATATCTGTATATACTGTCTGATCGTCGGTTTCGACGAAAGCTGGTTTGACTCTGTTGATGCTAATTACATCCGTTTTTCCAGCTTTTTCTATCGTAATAGTTTTATCATTTCTTTTAATCACCTTGAATGGACCATCGTAGGCCGGTTTTAAGGGACGCTGCAATACGGCTCCTACTGCTATGTTCGATGCATCCGTCATGACGGCTAATGGTGCTTCGTTCTTTCGTCGTAGTAACATCATCTTCTCGTCTAGTGCTCGCTTAGCGTTCTCAAAAGCTTGTATAGCATCTGCTGAAAGACGAAATGTCCGAGTATGTCCTCGCAAAGCGTCCGTCAATGGTTGTAATATTGTTGCGCAGTTTGGAATAAATCGTCTATAATAATTTATTAGCCCCAAGAATCGTCGTAATTTTTTCTGTGACTCAGGTAACGGATAATTACGAATAGCAGCAACTTCTGTTGGAACTGGCATGATACCATGTGAATTTATCATATGACCTAGGAATTGCAATGATTCCTTTCCGAATTCACACTTATCCACATTAATAGTGACGCCGTGTTCTCGAAGTTTCATAAACAACTGTCGTAGATGTTGTAGATGTTCCTCCACGGTAGCGCTAGCTACTAGTATATCATCGATATATGCATACACTCCCGTCAAACCCCTGACAACCTGATCGATGAATCTCTGGAAAGTTTGGGCTGCGTTAGTTAATCCGAAGGGCATTCGCAAAAACTCAAATAACCCAAATGGAGTAGTTATAGCCGTTTTAGGTATATCTTCTGCCGCCACGGGAATATGGTAATAAGCCCGAACAAGATCAATTTTTGAAAATATCGTGGCACCTCCCATATTGGTAGTAATGTCGTGGATATGCGGTACCGGATATCTGTCTGCTATAGTTTGCTTATTAAGGGCTCTATAGTCTCCGCATGGCCTGATTTCACCGTTTTTCTTGGGAACCATATGCAACGGGGATGCCCAGGGACTATTGGACGGTCTTACGATACCAAGCTTCATCAATTTTTCGAACTCTCGTTTCGCAATCTTCAACCTATTTGGGTCTAGCCTCCGTGGTCTTGCGTTGGTCGGTGGACCTTTCGTTATAATATGGTGCTGTACAGTGTGTTTAAGATCTCTGTTATCGTATGATGCCCTCGTCAAATCAGTGAACTCATTTAGAAGCGCTCTATATGGCTCGCTTTT